AGCTGTTTATATCTTACCCTAACTGCCTCCTCTTTTAGTTTATAAACCTTCACCTCTCTCTTCCCTGATGCTTCTATTCTCGTTGTATCCCATCTACCTTTTACTCTCAGTGTAGCTACAACTAGAAAGTGATCTGATATATCTGTGGCCCCTCTATAAATAATTATTATTATTATATTATTATTATTATTATTATTATTATTATTATTATTATTATTATAGGTAGTAGGTTGGTAGACAGCAACCACCCAGGGAAGTACTACCGTCCTGCCAGATGACTGTGAAACAAAAACCTGTAACTGTTTTGCATGATGGTAGGATTGCTGGTTTCTTTTTCTGTCTCATAAACACGCTAGATAACAGGGATATCTTGCTACTCCTACTTACACTTTGGTCACACTTCACAGACACGCACATGCATATATATATACATACATCTAGGTTTTTCTCCTTTTTCTAAATAGCTCTTGTTCTTCTTTATTTCTTCTATTGTCCATGGGGAAGTGGAAAAGAATCTTTCCTCCGTAAGCCATGCGTGTCGTTGAGGCGACTAAAATGCCGGGAGCAATGGGCTAGTAACCCTTCTCCTGTAGACATTTACTAAAATAGAGAAGAAAAAAACTTTATAAAACTGGGATGCTTAAATGTGCGTGGATGTAGTGCGGATGACAAGAAACAGATGATTGCTGATGTTATGAATGAAAAGAAGTTGGATGTCGTGGCCCTTAGCGAAACAAAGCTGAAGGGGGTAGGAGAGTTTCAGTGGGGGAAATAAATGGGATTAAATCTGGAGTATCTGAGAGAGTTAGAGCAAAGGAAGGGGTAGCAGTAATGTTAAATGATCAGTTATGGAAGGAGAAAAGAGAATATGAATGTGTAAATTCAAGAATTATGTGGATTAAAGTAAAGGTTGGATGCGAGAAGTGGGTCATAATAAGCATGTATGCACCTGGAGAAGAGAGGAATGCAGAGGAGAGAGAGAGATTTTGGGAGATGTTAAGTGAATGTATAGGAGCCTTTGAACCAAGTGAGAGAGTAATTGTGGTAGGGGACCTGAATGCTAAAGTAGGAGAAACTTTTAGAGAGGGTGTAGTGGGTAAGTTTGGGGTGCCAGGTGTAAATGATAATGGGAGCCCTTTGATTGTATAGAAAGGGGTTTAGTTATAGGTAATACATATTTTAAGAAAAAGAGGATAAATAAGTATACAAGATATGATGTAGGGGAAAATGACAGTAGTTTCTTGGATTATGTATTGGTAGATAAAAGACTGTTGAGTAGACTTAAGGATGTACATGTTTATAGAGGGGCCACAGATATATCAGATCACTTTCTAGTTGTAGCTACACTGAGAGTAAAAGGTAGATGGGATACAAGGAGAATAGAAGCATCAGGGAAGAGAGAGGTGAAGGTTTATAAACTAAAAGAGGAGGCAGTTAGGGTAAGATATAAACAGCTATTGGAGGATAGATGGGCTAATGAGAGCATAGGCAATGGGGTCGAAGAGGTATGGGGTAGGTTTAAAAATGTAGTGTTAGAGTGTTCAGCAAAAGTTTGTGGTTACAGGAAAGTGGGTGCAGGAGGGAAGAGGAGCGATTGTGGAATGATGATGTAAAGAGAGTAGTAAGGGAGAAAAAGTTAGCATATGAGAAGTTTTTACAAAGTAGAAGTGATGCAAGGAGGGAAGAGTATATGGAGAAAAAGAGAGAGGTTAAGAGAGTGGTGAAGCAATGTAAAAAGAGAGCAAATGAGAGAGTGGGTGAGATGTTATCAACAAATTTTGTTGAAAATAAGAAAAAGTTTTGGAGTGAGATTAAACAAGTTAAGAAAGCCTAGAGAACAAATGGATTTGTCAGTTAAAAATAGGAAAAGGAGAGTTATTAAAGGGAGAATTAGAGGTATTGGGAAGATGGAGGGAATATTTTGAGGAATTGTTAAATTTTTGATGAAGATAGGGAAGCTGTGATTTCGTGTATAGGGCAAGGAGGAATAACTCTTGTAGGAGTGAAGGAAGAGCCAGTTGTGAGTTGGGGAAGTTCGTGAGGCAGTAGGTAAAATGAAAGGGGGTAAGCAGCCGGGATTGATGGGATAAGATAGAAATGTTAAAAGCAGGTGGAGAAAATAGTTTTGGAGGGGTTTTGGTGCAATTATTTAATAAATGTATGGAAGAGGGTAAGTACCTAGGGATTGGCAGAGGCATGCATATTTCCTTTGTATAAAGGCAAAGGGATAAAAGAGAGTGCAAAAATTATAGGGGGATAAGTTTTTGAGTATACCTGGTAAAGTGTATGGTAGAGTTATAATTGAAAGAATTAAGAGTAAGACGGAGAATAGGATAGCAGATGAACAAGGAGGCTTTTGGAAAAGTGGGGGGTGTGTGGACCAGGTGTTTACAGTGAAACATATAAGTGAACAGTATTTAGATAAGGCTGAAGAGGTCTTTTGGCATTTATGGATTGGAAAAGGCGTATGACGGGTGGATAGGGGGGGAATGTGGCAGATGTTGCAAGTGTATGGTGTAGGAGGTAGGTTACTGAAAGCAGTGAAGAGTTTTTACGAGGATAGTGAGGCTCAAGTTAGAGTATGTAGGAAAGAGGGAAATTTTTTCCCAGTTTAAAAATAGGCCTTAGACAAGGATGTGATGTCACCGTGGTTGTTTAATATATTTAGATGGGGTTGTTTTAGAAGTAAATGCGAGGGTCTTGGCAAGGGGGCGTGGAGTTAAAAAGATAAAGAATCACACACAAAGTGGGAGTTGTCACAGCTGCTCTTTGCTGATGACACTGTGCTCTTGGGGGATTCTGAAGAGAAGTTGCAGAGATTGGTGGTGAATTTGGTAGGGTGTGCAAAAGAAGAAAATAAAAGGTGAATACAGGAAAGAGTAAGGGTTTTGAGGATAACAAAAAGATTAGGTGATGAAAGATTGGATATCAGATTGGAGGAGAGAGGATGGAGGAGGTGAACGTATTCAGATATTTTTGAGTGGACGTGTCAGTGGGATTTGGGGCTATGAAAGATGAGGTGAATCATAGAATTGATGAGGGAAAAAGAGTGAGTGGTGCACTTAGGAGCTGGGGGAACAAAAAAACTTTGTCCTTGGAGGCAAAGAGGGGAATGTATGAGATTTTATTTTTTCCCAATGCTCTTTTTGGGTGTAAAGCATGGGTGATGAATTTGCAGGAGGGAAGGTGGAGGCAGGGAGATGTCATGCTGGGGCAAGTGTGGTGTGAATATAAGCAGAAAAATTCGTATTTGGGGAAGTTAGGAGGAGGTGGGGGATTACCAAAACTGTTGTCCAGAGGGGGGGAAGGGGTTGTTGAGGGGTTCGGACATGTAGAGAAATGGAGCGAAACAGAATGACTTCAAGGTGTATCAGTCTGTAGTGGAAGGAAGGCGGGTGGGGGTGGCCTAGGAAAGGTTGGAAGGGGGGGGGTAAAGGGGTTTGTGTGCGGGGGCTTGGACTTTAGAGCATGCATGAGGTGTTTGTGGGATGATGGAGAAAAATGGTTTTAATACTTGCGTGCTTTTGGGAGTGTGAGCAAAGTAAATTTATAAAGGGATTCGGGGAAAAACCGGCAGGCTGGACTTGAGCCCTGGAGAGGGGGAAGTACAGGCCGCACTTGAAGGGGGGGTGCTAATGTTGCGTTTAAAACGTAGTGTAAAGCCCCCTTCTGGCAAGACAGTGAGGGAGTGAATGGGGTGAAAGTTTTTTTTTTTTGGGGGCCCCCCGCCTTTGGGGGAATGGCCAGGTGATAATAAAAAATAAAATATTATTATTATTTTATTTATTTTCTCCGTTTTTTTGGGTTATCTTTTTCAAATTGGGCAATGTATGAGGAAAGTCTTTTCACGTACACCAAAATGAAAAAAATCAACCATAAATAAGGGTTCACTTTTCACCCTTAGCGGTTTATTTTTGTATGGGTTTTTATGGTTTTATTCTCATTTTTTCAGTTCATTTGATAGAAAAGAAAGAATATTACAGAAATAGATAGATTTTGATTGCTTTCAACGAAAAATACCTTGAAATTGTGCCGCATAGCAAAATGTTTTATTCTTAGCAAACCAAGAGTAACAAATACGCACGTCCAAAACTGTCCGCCTGCCGTCCAATCGTGTCAAGAATGGCTTGACATTTTTATAAATTATTATAATAATGCGTAGTTGCATAACAGTAATCTTTTATTTTTTTTTGAAAATAAAAAAATTCCAATGAAAAAGCAAGAGAAAAATAAAAGGGGCTTGTAGCTGTACTGATAACAGAGAAAATGTTTTTTAGGCCCGGAATGTTACTTGCTTATTTGGATTCTATTTTTAAAATTTGGGATCTGTTTAAATTTGGTGAAATCGGCCCCAAATTGCCAATTTCTGACCACTTAATTGGGTAGTTTTAAATAAGTGAAGGGGGGTTTCTTGTACTCAGTTGACAGACTAAAGTAAATAAGTTTTTTTGAGGTATACAAAATACAGTTTCATGATTATCATACATACAGTGTTGTAAGAGAACCCAGGATAACCCCGAAAAGTCAGAAAAGTGACTTTTTTCCGTACCTGGCTTGGGCTTTCCCTATATGATTTTTGGTAAAATTTTTTTTTTTCGGGTTTTTTGTTGGGCTTCTCATTTTAAAATTGGGGAATGTATGATGGAAAAAATGCTTCTTAAAAGTACAACAAAAAAAAAAAAGACGGACGATAAAAAAGGGAGTAACTTTTCAGCCCTTAGCCGCCTCTTTGCAGTATATTTTCGAAAAGGTTTTTTTATGGTTGTATTCTCATTTTTTTGGACTCATTTGATAGAATGGAAGATATATTACAGAAATAGACATGATTTTGATTGCTTTCATGACAAAAAGTACCTTGAAATTGAGCTCAAAGTAGCGGAAATGTTCGATTTTTGCCGATGTTCAATGAACTGTGTAAGTCAAGTTGGTTAATTTTATTAAGTGTATTCTAACCTAACCACTCTGTAATTCGGCAAACTCAGTAATCCGGCACACTACAGGTCCCAATGATGCCGTATTTGTGATGGAGGACCTGTATATGTCAAACATGGTGGCTCGTAAGACGTATATATACGACCGAAACAGTCAAAGGGTTAATGCAGTAGCCTTCATAACAGCTGCCATGAGCCAGGGTATGTTGTCAGTGATTCAGTCTGTTAACAGAATTTGTGCTCTGTATTCTGGCAGTTTTTTACATTCATGTGCTGCAGATAAGTTCTAAGCTAGAAGAGGATGGTTTCAAAGGTACTATAGGGAAAGAAGCCAATTTCACAACAACAGCAGTGCCAACACTAGCTGCAGAAAATTATCCTCATGAACTAGCTGGGATAATTGATTGGGGTAGATATACCAAGCAACAGGTTTTTAATGTGGATGAAACTTCATTATTTTGGAAGATATTCTCTAGGACTTATTGCTAAAGAAAAGAAGTTATCATCTGGTGTCAGAGCTGCAGAAGACAGGCTAACGCTCTTGCTAGGGGCAAACACTACTCATCACTCACTGTTATAAACTAAAAATTAAAATATTTTAAGTAAGGAGTGTGCTGTATATGCATTTTACTTTACTATTTTTTAGGCCTGATTCTATTGCTCATTTAATATATGATAGTATTAACATTTTATCAGGCATTTATATGCATTTAGAAGTGAAAAAAAGGGTGATTCAGTTTATGGCAATTTTTGCTTTACGGCAGTAGCCTGGAACCTAACCTGTCATATAATCGGGGTCCTCCTGTATAACCTAAGGTAGCTTAACTTGCCTTTATTGTCATTACATTTCTTTGTTTACATTAGACTGGCACGTGACAAAAATGTAACACAAAGCATTGGTTGGTTGGCTCTGACATGTGCAACCATAATTAACCCTTTGACTGTTTTCGACGTATAAATACGTCTTAGGAGCCAATGTTTCTGACGTATATATACTCAATAATTCTAGCGGCTTCAAATCAAATGGGAGAAAGCTGGTAGGCCCACATGTGAGAGAATGGGTCTGTGTGGTCAGTGTGCACCACATAAAAAAAAATCCTGCAGCACACATTGCATAATGAGAAAAAAAAAACTCTGATAGTTTTTTTGGAATAAAACGCCGACTTTGAGGTGTATTTTCGTATAGTATTTATCGTTGTATTCGCGTTTTCATGGTCTTAGGTGATAAAATGGAAAACATATTACAGAAATAGAGATGATTTTCATTACTTTTACGATGAAAACGACCTTGAAACTGAGCTCAAAGTAGCGGAAATGTTCGATTTTTACCAATGTTCAAGAGTAAATAAATCACACCACACGTCCAATACACGTCAACTGGGGAGTCTAATATTCTTTCACTAGTGCACTGATATTATTTATACCATTTTTACAATAATGCAGTCGTCTGCATAACAGTAAATTTTGTATTTTTTTGTATGAATAAAAAATCAAAATAGAAAGCAATAATAATATAAGAGGGGCCTAGAGATGTGACTAATGAACAGAGCATATGTTATTTTAGTGCCACGAATGTCTACCTTGTTTATTCTGGACCCTATTTTGAAATTGGCATCTTTTTTATTTTGCGTGAAATTGGCCAAATTGCCAATTTCTGACCACCATATTGGGTAGTCCAAATTAGTAAATGGGAGGTTTCTTGTACTCAGCTGATAGATAAAATGGAGTTCTAAAGAAATAGCTATGAGTTTGGTCAACTGGAACAATGGAATTGGCTGAAAATAGGGCTCAAAGTCGGCGAAATCGCTGATACGCATATGTCGCCGAGACCGCTAACTTCGCGGGAGCATAATTCCACGAGTTTTCGACCAAATTTCGAACTTTTGGTGTCATTACCATCGGGAAAAGATTCTCTATCATTTCATAAGAAAAAATAATTTTTTTTTTTTCAAAAATTGAGCGACATAGAATGACAGTTTCAGAGAGGGGCCTGAAACAGTCAAAGGGTTAATGTAGTTTTTTTGCTTATATCTTCCAAAGTAACAATTTGCATAGAAATGCTTATTCTGTGGTGTACAAAGGTTGTGTATTTTGTAAGCTGTCAGCTACCCAGCATTTAATACCCAAGGTCTGCCAAAAAGTATAAATCCTATCTGGGTCTAGACCTTCGATCTGAAACTAGTTCTTAGTGCCCAGAAATCTCCTTCTTCATCCCCCCCCCCCTGCCCAAATTTAATGAAATGATAATCTTTTTCTGAAGGTAATGTCACCAAAAGTATGAAACTTGATGGAAAACTTAAAGAATTTTACTGGCACGAAGCAGTCTCAGTGCAGTTTATGCGCCAGTGATTTCACCCACTTTGAGTTCTATTTTAGGCCAATTCCATTGTTCCAGTCAACCAAATTCTTAGCTATTTCACTAGTTCTGTAGATTGAGCACAAAAAACTGCTTGTTCAACTGCCTGATTAAGTGATCAAAACTCGGTAATTTGACTAATTTCACACAAAATTAAAAAATGTTACTTTAAAAATGGAGTCCATAAACAGTATAGACATTACCCGGAGTATACCTGGAGGGGGTTTCAGGGGTCAACACCCCCACGGCCCATTATGTGACCAGGCCTCGTGGTGGATCAGTGCTTGATCAGGTTGCTACTGCTGGACGCACACAAACCGACATAGAAACCACAGCCCGGCTAGTCAGGTACTGACTTTGGGTCTCTGTCCAGCTCCTCCTTGAAGACAGCCAGGGGTCTATTGGTAATCCCCCTTATGTATGCTGGGAGGCAGTTGAACAATCATGGGCCCTTAACACTTATTGTGTTGTCTCTTTAGTGTATACTCGTAGCATCCCTGCTTTTCATTGGGAGGATGTTTCATCTCCTGTCGATTTTTTTTTTTTGCTTTCATAGGGAGTGATTTTCGTGTGTAAATTTGGTAGTAATCCCTCTAGGATTTTCCAAGTGTATATTATCATGTATCTTTCTCTCCTGCAGTCCAGTGAATACAAGTCAAGAAGCTTCAACCTTTCCCAATAATTTAGGTTTTATCATACTTATGTGTGCCATGAAGGTTCTCTGTACATTCTCCAGGTCAGCAATTTTACCTGCCTTGAAAGGCACTGCTAGTGTACAGCTATATTCCTGCCTGGAGAGAACTAGAGATCTGAAAAGAATCGTCATGGGCTTGGCATTCCTAGCTTTGATGGTTCTCATTATCCATCCTATCATTTTTCTAGCAGATGTGGTAGATACATTGTTGTGATATTTGAAAGTGAGATCCTCTGATATCATTCCCAGGTCCTTCACAATAGTTTTCTGCTCTAAGGCAAAATTTCTTCTGTTCATGATCATGTCCTCAGGCCTCTCCTATATTACACTTACTCTACATTTTAAACCCTTATTCACACAAACAATATACGATTTACTCTTTCTCAGATAATGTATGACCAGGAAAAATTGTTCGTGGTTTACAGTGTCCCAATAATTGAATCAAACTTTAATGATGGATTCGAAATGGAGAGGCCTTGGGACGTGATGAATGAACAGAGGAAAGGTTACTGTAGTGGCTGGAATGCCTACTTTGTTTATTTTGGACTCTGTTTTTACATTGGAATTTGTTGAATTTGTGTAAAACTGGCCAGATTACCAGCTACTGAATGTGTTTATGATGGAGTTGTGATAATTGAATGGGAAATTTCTTGCATTTAATCAGTATTAATTTTTATTCTTTCTTTTCCAGCTCTTCATTTCACCAGAAGCTCTCCACTAAGTGCTGACATCCAGTGCCATGAAGCTTACCAAGTGATAGATGTTCTGCAGATAAGTGTCAGTGAAGACACTAGTTAACTTAATCACAGTATGAAGACAGTGTGTGTGAAAGGTGATAGTAGTGTTTCACACTTCATCCTGGCTACTACCTGCACTCTCACAACTCTCGAAGATATAACTTCACTTTATTGAAATATTGCCATGCACCATTATTGAAATATTGCCATGCACCATTATTGCCCACTGAAATAAGAAGTTATTCATCTGAAGAACTTCACATGTATTATCAGTATTTAGTGCATTGAAGCTCACTCTGCAAAAAGAATTGTTATGTAATAAAAAATAATATACAAGATTATAGTGTTGTGTTTTGTTGGTGTTACATATATTTATGCTGGTAATTCCAACAAGACACTTTTGGAGAGCAATTTTTTAAATTCTATACATAAGATTATGTATACTCAGTGGCAACTTTATTAGGTATACCTGTGTGTCTGCTTGTCAGTGAAAATATCTAATCACAGGGCATCACCTCATTTCCTAGTAGGATGCAGACATGGTAAACAGGTTCACTTGTTGTTCAGAGCAGACAGCAGCATGGAGGAGCGGTGTGATCTAAGTAACTTTGACCGTGGAATGATTGTTGGTGCCAGACAGAGTGGTTTGAGTGTCACAGAAACTGCTGATCTCCTGGGATTTTCATGCTCAACAGTCTCTAGAGTTTACAGAGAATGGTGTGAAAAACAAGAAACATCCAGCGAGCAGCAGATCTCTGGGCAAAAACGCTCTGTTAAAGAGAGAGCTCAGAAGAAAATGTAAGTGAATAAAAACTATTTTACGGTTCCATTATGGTACACCAGAATTAAATACATATATTTTATAGGCTTGTAGAGGAGATTACTTATTAACTATAAGCAGGATCTTTTTGCATCATGTTGTTTAAATGGATTCTAGCATTAATTTTCTGAATTTAAGTTGTTTATAAATTATATTTAATCTATAACAAGTTTGTTACATTTTAAATTGGTAGTAGCAGTTAAATAGCTTTATTGTTCACATTTCTTATTCATCATCATCATCATAGAGTCAGCATTTAGAAAGATAAAGTTTGTTGATGACAGTGATTAATTACCAAGCATATTTTCAGACACTCAGGACGTTGGTACCTGTGAGTTATATATTAACACAAAATGTATAGAGGAGTACCATTTCAGTTTTTGTGAAATATAGTGTAAACTTTTATTTCCTTTATTAATGTTCATATCACAGTATACTGATATATTCATAAAAATTATTTTTTCCAGTAACTAATATATTCATGCAACTGATACATTCGTGTAACTTGTATATTGATACAGTATAGTGAAGTTTATTAAAGCAATAATGTTAGTGTAAACACAGTGTAAAAACTTAATTTCATTTTCATTAGCGATACTTTTCTCTAGAGAAGTCACATGTGTTATTTGTGTATTAAGTCTTTTCTGAAAATTCCTGTTTAATACACCAGGTGAGAGTTCATTAGTGGGTGCAACCACATCAATGTTTCTACACCAGGTGAGAGTTCACTAGTGGGTGCAACCATATCAATGTTTCTACACCAGGCGAGTTCATTAGTGGGTGCAACCATATCAATGTTTCTACACCAGGTGAGTTCACTAGTGGGTGCAACCATATCAGTGTTTCTACACCAGGTGAGAGTTCACTAGTGGGTGCAACCATATCAATGTTTCTACACCAGGTGAGTTCACTAGTGGGTGCAACCATATCAGTGTTTCTACACCAGGTGAGAGTTCACTAGTGGGTGCAACCATATCAATGTCTCTACAAGACCTTCCTCGGACAGACTCGGAGACAACTTGCTTAAAAACAGATTCACAAGAGAAAGCAAATTATCCTGCAGAAGAGAAACATCAGTGTTCTCTGTGTTCTAAAGAGTTTTCACGTAAATCAAATCTCGTACGGCACTTGAAAACCCATACAGAAGAGAGACCATATCGTTGTGTGGAGTGTCTAAAAGACTTTAAAAGGAAATTGTATCTGGAAAAACACATTAAAGTACACAGGGGAGAGAAACCTCATCGGTGTTTAGTGTGTTCAAAAGAATTTTCACGTAAATCACATCTAGATCAGCACATGAGAGTTCACACAGGTGTGAAACCATATCATTGTTCAGAGTGTCTCAAAGAATTTGCTCAGCACTCAAACCTGTTGCAGCACATGAGAATTCATACAGGAGAGAAACCACATCAGTGTTCGGTGTGTTTTAAAGATTTTGCAAATATATCTGATCTAAAAAGACACATTAGAATTCATACTGGAGAGAAGCCTTATCAATGTCCAGTGTGTTTAAAAGCTTTTTCACAACATTCCATTCTAGTACTACACAAGAGGATTCATACAGGAGAAAAACCATATAAATGTTCAGTGTGTCCCAAAGACTTTTCAGATAAATCAGTTCTAAAAGAGCATATTAGAGTTCATACAGGAGAAAAACCTTATCAGTGTTCTGAGTGTTGTAAAGATTTTTCAAGGAAGTCAGGTTTAAACAAACATATCAGAGTTCATGCAAAAGAGAAACCATATCAATGTTCAGTGTGTTCAGCAGGATTTTCACATAAATCATATCTGGTTAAACATATGGACGTTCATTTAAAAGAGGAACCACATCAGTGCTTAAAAGACTTTAGATTTAACCACTTGTAGTAAAATCTTTGAGTTTTCATGTGATATAGTAAACATATATGATAGTACATTAAGCTAGAGTTCATTTATAATTTAAACCAAGTGATTATTTTATGGACCCAACAACAACAAGTTAAAAGTTCTCAGGGCAGGTACCTTCATTGCATTTATAGGTAACCCTTCAGCACTCGGGGTTTAGCATTGTTTTGATTGTGGATAATAATATAGGTAACCCTATTTTTGGCACTTGAAAAGAGTAATCACTTGAGGCGAGTCTTCCTTGCCTGTCCTTGGGGAGGAAGCTTGTGTTGCTTTTGTGACCCAGCAGGCATTGTCAATGGGTGTGTCCCTTCTGCTTCAGTCACTAGTGAGAGCCAGGCTAACTGTTCCCACTAATATAGTGCTTCCGAATGGGCTGCCAATTTCACCCACCAATGGGGTGCCTCTTGGAGTCACCCAGTGTTTGGTGTCCACTTAGAAATGTGTTGGGTTAAAGGATCTGTACACTATCTTGGGCAAACTGTGCCATGGGGCTCATTAATGTAATCAGGGCAGCTATGCCAGTGCCCCCTCCCTTCCTCCCCAAATAAAAAAGATAAATCAAGGATGTGAATAAATCTTAGGACATAGAAAGTATACTTCACCAGTCATATCAGAGGCCTGTGTTAACCAACAGGTATTCGTATCGTTATGCTTAGCGATAAAACTAATGAAAAACTGAACTTGAATATTAAACCAAATGATGCAAAATTTTGGGACTTTGGTAAAATGACATATTAAGAAAACTTGTTGGCAAAATGTTCTCAACTGGTGACATTATATTTTCCCCAACCAAGAGCCGACTGTACAAACACTATATAGGCTACTAAATTGAACAAACACTGTATAAGCTACTAAATTGAACAAACACACTTTATGGGCTACTAAATTGAACAAACACACTATATGGGCTACTAAATTGAACAAACACACTTTATGGGCTACTAAATTGAACAAACACGCTATATAGGCTACTAAATTGAACAAACACACTATATGGGCACTAATGAACAACACACTTATGTACTAATTGAACAAACACACTATATAGGCTACTAAATTGAACAAACACACTATATGGGCTACTAAACTGAACAAACACACTATATAAGCTACTAAATTGAACAAACACACTATATGTGCTACTAAATTGAACAAACGCACTTTATGGGCTACTAAATTGAACAAACACACTTTATGGGCTACTAAATTGAACAAACACACTTTATGGGCTACTAAATTGAACAAACACACTATATAGGCTACTAAATTGAATGAACACTACATAGGCTACTAAATTGAACAAACACACTATATAGGCTACTAAATTGAACAAACACACTATATAAGCTACTAAATTAGCAAATTTAATTCATTTTTCAGGCCGCTCTGCCTTGGTGGGAAACAGCCAATGTGTTAATATAAAAAACAATAATTCATTTCGATGATAATTGTTAAATTATTTTTTATTGGACTGGTGCAGATATTGCATTATTGCAAGTGATGTGAATTATAACAAAATAAAAATTTATCAAGAAAGTGTTAATCTTTGAACGAGTTACGACATATCAAAATGATGATAGTCTTAAGTTATGGCCTGTCATAAGGTATGGTCTGTCATGAGGTATGGCCTATCACTATCAAGATAGTGATAAGCCATGCCTCATTCCAAGACTATTATTGAGATAGTGTTAGTCATGGACTGAGATATGGTCTTTCAAGATAGCAATAGTCTTGGAATGAGGTATGGCCTATCAAGATGATAGTCTTGAAATAAGTATGTCCTGTCATGATAGTGTTAGTCTTGGAATGAGGTACCACTGATCATGGTAGTGTTAGTCTTGGAATGAGGTACCACTGATCATGGTAGTGTTAGTCTTGGAATGAGGTACCACTTATCATGATAATGTTAGTCTTGGAATAAGTTATGTCCTGTTTATTAACGTGTACGATTTTTGAAGCATCAAGATTTTTCATTGCTTGTTTATATTTTTCTTTTGTTGTGCAGTGACCCCAACATTGTGAGTTTCAGTAACATGTTCCTTCAAGCACTGTACCCCAGTGCTGGTGGAAGTTCATGTTCCTTCAAGCACTGTACTACAGTGCTGGTAGAAGTTCATGTTCCTTCAAGCACTGTACTACAGTGCTGGTGGAAGTTCATGTTCCTTCAAGCACTGTACTACAGTGCTGGTGAAGGTTCATGTTCCTTCAGGCACTGTACTACAGTGCTGGTGAAGGTTCATGTTCCTTCAAGTACTGTACTACAGTACTGTACTACAGTGCTAGTGAAGGTTCATGTTCCTTCAAGTACTGTACTGCAGTTCTAGTGAAGGTTCATGTTCCTTCAAGCACAGTACAGTGGAACCTCTACTTGCGAGTTTAATCCGTTCCATGACTTTTCTCGCAACTAGATTTGCTCGTTTGCAGAGTCAATTTTCCTCATTTAAATTAATTGAAATGCAATTAATCCATTCCAGTGGAATTCTGTACTTCAATAATTTCCCTAATATCAACTCTACGGCTTATTTATCTATCTAACTTCATCTAATATGACATAATAAACAATATAAATAACATAGAAACCTGATATATACTCTAAAATGAATAAAATATGTCATTCATGTAGTGGTATGGGCGGTGACGGCGGTGGAGGAGAGTTTGTCTGGACACCAGGCAAAATACTTCATGAATAATTTCGCTAATATCATCTATTTGGCTTATTTATATATCACAGTTCATCTAATATGACACAACAGACAATATAAATAACATAGAAACACGATATATACTCTAAAATGAATAAAATATGTCATTTTGTAACAGGTGGAGGCAGTCACAACCGCTCCCTCTTTGTTGTGGTAAACACTGCCATCTATTGACAGCCTTTTGAAGCTGTCTGTTATTATAATTATTATATGTAGTACATTATTATTATGTATTATTATTATACATATATTATTATTATTGTATTATACTATTACAGTGGATCCTCGACATTCGATACTAATCCGTTCCTGAGAGCTATCGAATGTCGAAAATATCGAAAGTCGAATTAATTTTCCCCATAAGAAATAATGGAAATCAAATTAATCCGTGCAAGACACTCAAAAGTATGGAAAAAAAAATTTACCACATGAAATATTAAGTTTAATGCAATAGAATAATTACAATAACAACAATAACAATAGATTAATAACAATAGAATAATTGACACTTACCTTTAATGAAGATCTGGTGATGATTGATGGGATGGGAGGAGGGGAGAGTGTGGATGGTGTTAAGTGTTTAGAAGGGAAATCCCCTTCCATTAGGACTTGAACTGGGAGCCTCACCATGCCTTACCACACTGTGTATGCCACTACGATTCTTAAATCTTTCAAACCAACCTTTGCTGTCCTTAAATTCACTCACATCACCACTAGTTGCAGGCAATTTCTTTACCAAATCATTATGCACTCCGACACATGCACTCCACTTTCGTACTTTGCAATTATCTCTTTCGTCATTTCAATAGTCATTAGCACCTTTTTTCTCGAAGAGTTGGCACTAGAAGCTTTCTTGGGGGCCCATGGTTACTTATTTTGTAGAAACAAGCACCAAAAAGAGTGATAATATGGAATGTACCGAATGTATCCTTAGATGCACGCACACTGGCTGGCTTGTAAACACTGGCACACACGGGGCAGTTCAGGCCACACGTGGACACGTCTCGTACGAATCGTATCAAATGTCGGGTTTTTCATCGAATGCCGAGGCAAAAATTTTGCGTTACAATGCAACGAATGTCAGATTTATCGAATGTCGGGGGTCCACTGTATTATTATTATTATACGTATTGTTATTATTCATATTATTATTATACATATTATTATTATTATTATTATTATTATTATTATTATTATTATTATTATTATTCTTTCAACGTACCAGCCGTATCCCACTGAGGTGGGGTGGCCCAAAACAAAAAACTGAAGTTTCTCCTTTTAAATTTAGTAATATATACAGGAGAAGGGGTTACTAGCCCCTTGCTCCCGGCATTTTAGTCGCCTCTTACGACACGCATGGCTTACAGAGGAAGAATTCTGTTCCACTTCCCCATGGAGATAAGAGGAAATAAACAAGAACAAGAATTAGAAAGAAAATAGAAGAAAACCCAGAGGGGTGTGTATATATATGCTTGTACATGTATGTGTAGTGTGACCTAAGTGTAAGTAGAAGTAGCAAGACTTACCTGTAATCTTGCATATTTATGAGACAGACAAAAGACACCAGCAATCCTACCATCATGTAAAACAATTACAGGCTTTCGTTTTACACTCACTTGGCAGGACGGTAGTACCTCCCTGGGCGGTTGCTGTCTACCAACCTACTACCTACATTATTATTATTATTATATAAATTATTTGTAATTTTTATTCACACAAAAAATATAAGATTTACTGTTATTCCTTATTGCAATACAGTGGACCCCCGCATAACGATCACCTCCGAATGCGACCAATTATGTAAGTGTCTTTATGTAAGTGCGTTTGTACGTGTATGTTTGGGGGTCTGAAATGGACTAATCTATTTCACAATATTCCTTATGGGAACAAATTCGGTCAGTACTGGCACCTGAAGATACTTCTGGAGTGAAAAAATATCGTTAACCGGGGGTCCACTGTAATTGTATAAATATGTCAACCCATTCACGACTGCATATTGGAATGGACAGTGACATCATTTGTTTACTCTGAAACAGCCAAGCAATGGACCATTTCTCCAAGGTTGAGCTCAATTTCAAGGCACTTTTCGTCATGAAAGCAATCAAAATCATATCTATTTCTGTAATATATCTTCCATTCTATCAATGAGACCAAAAAAACGAGAATACAACTATAAAAAACATTCGAAATTACCACTAAGGGGTGGCTAATTGCTGAGAAGTGAACTCCATTATTTATGCTTAGATTTCTTTCATTTTTGGTGTACATTAAGAAGCATCTTTCCATCATACATTGCCCAAGTTTCAATAAGATAGTCCAACAAACAAATGAGATACAATTCCCAAGATCAAGAGCAAGAGCCCCTCATCAGTGTCAAGGAACCTGCCTTGAGGTCTGCTCGCTTGTGGAAATTTTGCTCGCGTATGGAAGCAAAAAATCGACCCATCGACTGCTCGTATTTGGAAAAACTCGCACGTGGACATGCTCGCAAGTAGAGGTTCCACTGTACTACAGTGCTAGTGAAGGTTCATGTTCCTTCAGGCACTGTACTACAGTGCTAGTGAAGGTTCATGTTCCTTCATGAGTGGGAGGGGCTGGGTTTAATTAGTGTCATTGGGTACGGGAGTTAATTCTTGGGTATCTTTGGGTAAAGGTCATTTTGATAAGGACCTGCCTTGTATGGGCCAGTAGGCATTTTGCAGTGTTCCTCCATTCTTATGTTCTTATGTTCCTTCAAGCACTGTACTACAGTGCTAGTGAAGGTTTATGTTCCTTCATGCACTGTACCACAGTGCTAGTGAAGGTTCATGTACCTTCAAGTACTGTACTACAGTGCTAGTGAATGTTCATGTTCCTTCAAGCACTATACCACAGTGCTAGTGAAGGTTCATGTTCCTTCAAGCACTATACCACAGTGCTAGTGAAGGTTCATGTTCCTTCAAGCACTATACCACAGTGCTAGTGAAGGTTTATGTTTCAATGAAGTCCCTAATTTTTTGGGGGGGATCAAACCTGATTGTCTCCCATTTCCATATGTGTATTACTGCCATGGGTTTAGCACCTTCCTGAAAATGATGATGGACCAGGTAACACTATTGAAGGTATTCTGGGGAACTAGTTAGTAGAACTTGAGTCCAGGAGGTGGGAAGGACAGTGCCTGCTCTCTGAGGGAGGAGTAAGAGGGATGTTGCTGTTAGAGGGTAATGCGAATTTTGATGTGAGCTCACATCTGGCAAGACAGTGATTGAGTGAATAATTAATGTGCTTCTTCCTTTAGGTCACTTTTCCTTGG